TGCTTCCAGCAGGAGGCCTTTTGAGTGGCTGAAACAGAGATTCCAGCAGGAGGTTGAAAGTCTTTCAGCCAGATTTACCAATCTTCCAAGCTTTGTGGGACCAGAACTTCTGGGGGGAAGAGAAATACACTTGCTCTGGTTCAAGCCCATCTGGAAGACCACATAATTCAGCAAATATATTTTGGGATGTAAAGGGCCATTATGACTGTGGTTTTTTACATAAATAGAGGACACGAGCCTGTGAGAAAAATGGAAGGTGATGATGTGAGCAGGGAACATTTGGTACCAATTTTAGTTGTGTTTATTAAAGCTCCTTCACTGCTGGGATTCCTATTTACAAACAAGGAAGGGCAGGGTGGGGACATGAAGGTCAAAGGCATCCTTGGCTGCAGTGACCTGGAGATGGGAGAGCTCAGGATCTGAGGGGAGGGAGCAGGACAGAAAGCAGGATCACAACCTGAAAAAAAGATCACGATGGGAAAAAGAAACTTCTTTCATGTTCTTGGGCTCTTTTCTTACTGTAATGTCTTTAAGAAGTTTAACTTCATGTAGTCAGTTATACTTACGAAGAAATATGGTAAAGCAAAATGTATTGCCTTGTTCTTGTGTCCTTTTAACAGTTTATATGTCATGGCAAAGCCATTCAGAAATGGGGTAATCATCCTTAATTAAATAGTGAAAGCCTTGCATGTGTATTTCTTTTTCCTCAGAATGGAAAATAAACTTAAATTGTATGTGCTTACGTTTAAGAACCTGTAAGACGTTTTTACTCGTGTTCTTAGAACATGAAAACAAATAAATACATTTAATATCCAAAGGATTTAGAACTGGCTTCAATAAATGTAATGTGGATTGAAAAGGGGTGTTAATGGCACTTGTTTTGCAGTATTATAGAAATGAAGAATTAAACCTCTGCGTTTATCCCCTTCAATTCCATTTCCTTAAGCTTTGTTAAAAGTTTATGATGATGTTAGGAAATGAGGTTAATGTTGCTGTTGCTCCTAAAGATTTAGGAACTTCAATTGAATTTCAACAAAGCAATGGTAAGCTGCAGTCTGTGCCACAATCTTGTTATGTAGGTTTTTCCAGCCCTCAGCTACCGTCAGTGGCAGGATAGGGATGGGCTGGAGACAGAGGGCCACTTTTGGGTATTCACCCATATTTTCCTCTTCTCACAGTAATTATCCCACAGAGCCCCTTCTTATTTTTCCTGGAGAAGACCAATCTCCTTTTTTTGCATCCTATTTTTTTCTGTTAACCAAAAAAGCTAAACAACACTAATTTAGACCCAGAATACCTGTCCTGTTCTGGCCAAGATGCATTTCCTGATGGTGGTGATACAGAATATAAGAGTAACAAAAGCATGTGAATACTAATATCATGAAGTCAGACACACAAATTGTGTCAGATTTGTTTAAAATTGTTTCTCTAACTGTTAAATATTGTCATCCCTAACTTGTCCCAAGTTCCTGTATTAGACAACTGAGGTATCTGAAGTTGTAAATAAGGAAGAGCTATGGGAGTCAAGATGCACGTATTGACTGCTAGTGAGTGTAATAACTTGTACTTGGCATAACTGGTTTTTAGAGTGGAGAAGTTGTTTGTACAGTACTTCATTACTGTAAATAAAAATAGGTTCTGAATTGCATCTGTAAGTTAGAAATTTAAGTTCTGAGAGGTGATACAAATAGGAGAAAACCTCTCTTCTTGAAGAAGGGCAATAGCTTGGTACTAACCCTTCATAAATACGTTTTTCTTAATAATGTTGAGTGGAGAGCTCTGAACTGAGATGGGTTGATTGGGGGGTACAGAGCATTGTGGTAACAGGTTTAAATATTACCCACTGCCCTTCATAGACAGTAATGGAGATCTTGGGAAATACAACACCCTTTTCAGGGGCAAATAGCTTTGACAGCACTGTCAGAGCTGTCCTGTGTTATGTTCTACCTTAAGTGTTGCTGTTGGTGCAGTGTTCCCTGGGTTCCTCTCCATGTGGTGGTTATAGCTGGGAAGGGTGTTCATTTGTTTTGCAACAGGTAGAAAGTATCACCAGGTTTTTGGACATGTTGACAGATAGCTTTGATTTAAATGCACCATTTCAGTTTTGGAGCAGATCGAATAATTCATGTTTTCTGTTTATCGTAAAGGATTTTCTAGTAATTGCATTTGATTTTTTAATGTGCAATCCAATGAAGTTCTGAAATTATTTTGGAGGCAGTCCAGTTGTTTTGCTGCACAAAGTTTCCTGTAAAGCATATTAAATACTCCTGAGTAGAGGGGGAGGTTACCACAAGCTCTGCACAGATGAAATTTGTACTACATTTCAGAGAAGTAGGGGGAATAATGAGGGTGAGGAGTTTGCATATGTACTGCTGGTGTGAGGTGCTGTGTGCAGTCAGCTTCTGTACGATTCAGGGCTTTCTATCACAGGCTTCATTCTTCTGAGAATTTAGTTTTATTTTGCAACTCAGGCAAAGCCACAGTTCTTGTAGTTTCTCCTTGTTGTCAAGAGTGCAGGGAACCTTTTCATGAAGTTACTGATGTAAATTCAAAATATCTTTCAGCTCTGAGCCCAAGGATTTGACTCTTTGGAAGAAGCAAAAGGACATAGTTCCTCTAGAAAAAAGTGACTGTACTGCTCAAGTGTGGTATATGGTAATTCAGAGACGTCATTTAATCTAATACAGAGGGAAAGCTTGTAGCAACATCTCTGCTTATCTTGTACAGGCTTTGTTTTGCTGTTTTGCCCTACTCTTGCCTTCTTTATTGATGTTATATCATTCTTTTTACTGCTTAAGTTTCTCCTTTGTCACATGTCAGTATTTTAAACTATTTTACACATTTTCATTGGCGAAAGTCTGAAGAACTTATTTTTTCTGTCACTCTACTTTACTCTGCTTTAATACACACTATAAATTGAAATGCCCTCTGTGAATACAGTAGAGAATCAATTCAAATAGATTTTTATTGGAGTAAATAATTTCTTTTTGAAGCTAACAGCTTTGAATATTCATAGGAGAAAGTAAATACTAGTCATGATAATACATCCTTATGAATAAATTGAGAACTAATAAATAGAGACTTTCAGGATAGAAGAATGGAAATAAACCAAAATTGAGGTGCCCTCCTTTCTCAGTCTGTTGCTTGATTGAAAGGCTAATGTTTTTTATTAGACTTGATGATCTCAGAGGTCTTTTCCAACCTTAGTATTTCTATGATCCAGTGGTTCTATGAATATTCGGTGGTGTTCTGTCACAGAAGGGTAAGCTCAAACCCAGACTCTTGTGAGAACTCCAGGATGGCACCTCAACCCTTTGTAAATGTAGTTTGTAGTTTTAATTAGGAGAAGTTGTAATTTATTAACTTTATTCTTGCTTGATGTAACTTTCCCCATTTTGTTGTCTGCATTTTTTTAACTGTTATTAAAGTCCATTTTGTTTCTGGAATAAAACAGGAACAGAGGTCTAGGCACACATGGAGAACAGAAGAATATGTGCGATTTGTGTTCCCAAATTGCTTTTTCTGTGTGTGCCAATCATGATACCTGTGTACAGTTCACGTCTCCCACACAAATTTTACTTCAGTTCCTTTCCCTGTTCCTGAGACATCCCTGTATTGACCTGTACAGTCTTGACTTTTATTCATCAACAGGCACTTGATGAATACTCTCTAATTTGATAGCAGATGTTTAAGGTTTGCATGGTAATTATATTATAGATTTTGAGTAAGATTAAACTATAAATATTGCACAAATCTATAAATTCCAGCAGTTTTACTATAGTGTAATTTGCTTAATTAAAAAATCCAGACAAAACTGAGAAGAAAGGTAGGATTTTTGTTATTTCTAGCTTTAGTATTTCCTTTTATGTGCTGATTGTGCTTGCAGGCTTTAATATCTAATGTAGATACCAAAATCCCTAACAAGGAACCTGGGAAAAGCTGCTCACTTGCTTTTATAAGGAAAATAATTTTTGTGCCCCTCTCCCCTATTATAGCCTAAGGCAATTTTATAAGAAATGTCTTAAGGGACTGCTCTTGAGAGAGGCAAAATCCTGACTTTACAGTAGTGTTAAATGAAGTCATGGTAACAAAATGAATATAAATAGGTGAGCTTCTATATACTCTACCAGTCTTTCATATATTTTCGTATTATGAGGCATTTATTTAGAGGAGAATGGCGAAGGCAGCCTTAGTGTTTCAAAGCCCCATAAGCATGAAAGCAGGTTCAGGTGTGCTCAGTTTGAGTGTCTGTCATTGCCCCTTCAAACCCCCTGTGCTGGGGCTGGGCCGGGGGTGGGCTCTGAGGGCTCTGAGGGGACAGCGACCTCTGAGGGGACAGCCCAGCCCAGTTCCAGATGGTTCCACAAGGCACAGCTGAAGCCTTTTCAAAGCCCCCGTAAGTGTGAAAACAGGTTCAGGTGTGCTCAGTTTGACTGTGATTGCCCGTTCAAATCCCCTGTGCTGGGGCTGGGCCGGGGGTTGGCACTGAGCCCTCTGAGGGGACAGCGACCTCTGAGGGGACAGCCCAGTTCCACGTGGTCCCACAATGCACAGCTGAACCCTTTTCAAAGCCCCCATAAGCATGAAAGCAGATTCAGGTGTGCTCAGTTTGACTGTGATTGCCCATTCAAACCCCTTGTCCTGGGGCTGGGCCGGGGGTTGGCACTGAGGGCTCTGAGGGGACAGAGCCCTCTGAGGGAACAGCCCAGTTCCAGGTGGTCCCACAGGGCACAGCTGAACCCTTTTCAAAGCCCCCATAAGCATGAAAGCAGGTTCAGGTGTGCTCAGTTTGACTGTGATTGCCCATTCAAACCCCTTGTCCAGGGGCGGGGCCGGGGGTTGGCACTGAGGGCTCTGAGGGGACAGCCCAGTTCCAGATGGTTCCACAGGGCACAGCTGAACCCGTGAGTGGGATGGGGTGACCCCGGCAGAGCAGGGACAGCAGACACCCCCCAGGCAGTGAGGGTGAGGGGGAGAAGCAGCCCCGGGAACACTGGGGCAGGTGTCCATGCTGGTATCCACATGGGCAGAACCCGTGGAGCAGGGAAAACTGGGAGGAGGAAGGAGAAGCAGGGAGGAGCTGCTATGGATTGGCCCCCTCGTTCTCCAGAAGGATGGAGGAACTGTAAGTAAAGGAAAAAAGTTGGTCTTGGGCAGAGGGTGGGTTGGGGACAAGGGTTTTTAGGGTTTGGATATTTTTTTTGTTGTTTCTCACCACCTAATTCTATTTTAATTGGCAATAAATAAATTCCCCCAAGCGCAGTCTGTTTTGCCAGGGTGATAGTTGGTAAATGAACTCCCTGTGTTTATTGCAACCCACAAAAATTGTCATTTGATCCCCCCCTACCCTGAGCTGTTGGAGAGGGGGACGGAGGGAGCGGCTGGCGGGGCCTGGCACAGGGGATGGCCCACACCAAAACCGGCTTTTGAACTCCACAGAGTTATTACGGAGCCATGAAAAGAAAAAAAAATACAGCTAGAATTCCCCTTTCTGATGCACAGCCTCACATCTCAAGGTCATCCAAGCACTGATTGGTGTGATTTGTTGGTTATAACAGATGAAAGAAATACAGAAAAGAAAGGGTTTTGTATCTGGGGATGGTAAAATAAGGCAACAAGACGTGTTAGAGGACTTGTGCTGCTTGTGAGAAGAGTCCCTCATTCATTAAGGCCATCCAGGTTCTTTGTCTGTGACCCATCTTAATTACTACCATAAAAGCTCTGCACAAACACTTGCTTTTATATTCCGGATGCAAAACATTTGCCAAATATGTTTATAAATGCACACAGCAGATTGTTCTGGATGGACTGATAAAGTGCTCATTGCTTGGGAGCTCGTGATAAAGCCAGATGAAAAATGAGAGGTTAAGGGTTGTATGAAAATGTGCTGTAAAACAGAATGAATGCTTACATATCAGACTGACTTGCATATTTTTTATTTAACTACTAACAAGATGATAAAGTTTCAGGTTTGTTTATAGTGCTACTCTAATTAAAATTGAAGTGTTTTAATACTTAAAATTAGGGGGGTTTGTTTCTGGAAATGTGCTGTCCAGCGTCATCCGTTTGACTTTAATCTTTACACAGGGATAGGAATCCTGATCAGCTTTGCTTTAGTGTGTGGGCTTTTTGGTTGGGTTTTTTTTGTTTGTTTGGGTGTTTTGCTTTGGTTTTTTGTTTGTTTGGTGTGGTTTTTGTTTTCTTTGGTTTTTTGGGGTTTTTTTTGGCTTGAAAGAGAGAAGGCAGAGGAAAGTCATTAAAATATGTGCGTCTCCTTCCTTCCTTCTCACCCAAATGGAGCTTATTAGTCACTGGACTCTTGTAGTGTGAGGAGGGATGTTATAAACTGATTTCTTGACTGCTTCAAACTCTGTGCTGCCTGCAAGCCTGGAATGAAGCCACCTTCAGCTGTGTTCTAGCTCTCCTTTCTCTCTCAAGAGTGTTTTCCTTCACTGTCATGGATCTTGCATCTATTGAGTCTTCATAACTCCTTCCCTGAGATTCCAGCTGCAGCTTCCTGGGCTTTGCACTTTCTCTTCCTCCCTTCCCTGCATGGACTTTGTATCTTCTAGAAGGACACTCTGTTTAGCTCTGTCTGTCAGTACCTGTGCATTCTGTTTAAAGCAAGTGAAATACTTGTATTCTTTTATTGCATTTATTTGTATTTAATGTAAGTGCTTCTGATATCTCTGTAAAAAATAATGTTTAAACATGACCATAGAACATGCAGTAATTTAACCAGCACGATGTTCTGGACATGATAACCTTGAACCATCATTACAAGAGTGAGAAAGTGGCTCTTAGCACACTTATTTGGGAAACCTGAATGTGATAATTTCTGAGCTGATTCTCATGATAATTTCATTGCCAGATGCTTTATTGTTAGTATATACCTAATTTGCTTATTTAATACTCCCAAATGTGTTTTTCTTCATCTTGTGTTAGAAAAAGATAGAACCTTTTCTTGTTCACATAAATAGCATACAGAAATGGATATTTCTCATACCTACTGTCATCTTCAGCTTATATAGCATTTACTTTTGACCACATTTAGAGATAAAACCTAAACAAAATCTAGTAATTTTATACTTTTCAGCTATGCATGATAATTTTCCTCACAAAAGTCTTTCAGCCCTCAAAATGTATCTGCTTCTGTTGGATCTGTGTCTGTTTTTCTTTTTTTCAAGCAGGACCAAAACCAGTATATAGATGCACAGTTAAAAGATTGTGCATCTTTTCATCTGAAAATTGTTTGATAAGAACAGCAGATGAATCCACTTCCTTCAAGAAAACAGATGCGTAATCAGGTTCAGAGAAATTAAAAAATAGCTTATCAAAAGGGATTGCATTGATGTTTGTTTTCCTAAGTCATGCAAATCTAGTGGTCTTATAGGAAAACAAACTCAAGTAGGTGGAAGTTCTTTTTTCATCTCATCTTTGCTATTTTTGGTAAAACAAGTCAAAACCACTTGCTCTAATAATGTGTTTCAATAGAAAACACTTATGTTTCTCTTTGTGGATGTTCCTCCATCAACCCTAGTCTTGATAAATGCAGGTGCCTCTACTTAGAGAGCTTTTATAAACCACTCATGGACAAAAACAGATCTGTGATCAAGGCAGTGCCAGCTTGTGAAGGCTCAGTGTCAGTCCATCTAGTCACTGTTTTCCTAAGTGAGACTCCAACATTTCAGGCCTTTCAAAGCAGTGGGAATGGAGCTCAGTGGTTTAAAAACAACATCCAGCTGCAACAGGCGAGCTTGCTTTTCCTCCTGGATTCACTGCACATTGGCTGCTCTGGGCAGGGAGGAGAAGGGACTGTGTAGGCAGGAGCCACTTTGCCACACAATTGTGACCCAGCAGATGGTGGAGTAGTTTGGACACACATCCTTATCTTAGGGATGGCCTTGGTTGTTGGCCCCAGCCTTGCCTTTTTGTGGACTTCCCATGTAGTTATTTTCTGCAGGGGAAAAAAAGTATTTCCTCTTGTCTGGTTTTGGGGGATTTGGTTTGGTGGGTTTTGGGGAAGGTTTTTTTCCCATAATTGAATAATACTAGTTCTTTTGGAAAGGATTGTGGTGTCAGTTGTTTTCTTGTTTTGTTTTTTTTTTTTTTTAAATTGTTTTATTTTCTTTACTGATGGTGGTGGTGGTGTGGAGTTTTTTTATTGTCTATGGTGATTTTTCTCTTTCAAAGTAGTTTTACTGGTGGATTTTCTCATTAACTGCTTTAGTCCCTTTTAGAGTGCAGGTAATGAATATTCATATCTCCCCCTCAACATACATACCTGAGTAAATGTTAGTAATTGCAATATCAAAAATATTGAGAATATTTTTTTGTTGGGGTGATTGATTGATGCTGACTGTTCAGAACCATTCAGTTCACTGCTGACTGAAACCAAGCTTTTTCACCTCTCCATCACTATAAATCTTTGAATTTATTGTATGTTTGGAATAAGCAATCCCTGCTGTGTATAATGAATCCTCTTCTCTATAGCATTAAGTTCCATCAGAAAATGGGCCTCTTAGCAGATTGAGCCTAAACTGTAGGGATAAGAAGTTATGTAGTTTAAATAGCACGAGTTGACACCACTCTTTGATGTAAATATTTTAAAGCATGTAAAAACTGGATTGATGCTCCTCTAGGGCAATTCAGTGACAGTGTGGGAACTTATTAATCTCTTTCTCTCTTTCTTTCTTTCTTTCTTTCTCACACTCTTTCCCTTTCCAAACTTATTAACTCCCCCTCCCCTTTCTTTCCACTGCTTTTCTCCCTCCCTGCCTCTTTCTCTCTCTCTCCCTCCTCCCCTGTGCTCCCAAAACCGTGCCTCTCCAGAAGCACAAGGTGGATCTTTTCTACAAGCTGCGGCACGTGATGAACGAGCTCATTGACCTGCGCCGGCAGCTGCTCTCGGGGCACCTCACCCAGGACCAGGTGCGGGAGGTCAAGAGGCACCTCACCGTGAGGCTGGACTGGGGCAATGAGTGAGTACCTGCTGCCACCTCAGCCTTCTCGTGCTTCTCAAGGAGCTTTTATTAACAGAAACCCCCAACACAGCGTTTTCTTTCCGCAGATAGGACGTGGGATTATTGGAAAATCCAATAGAGCTTTTTGCAGTAAGTTTGTTGCACAGTTCTGCTGTTGCTGTAAAAGGAGCTGTTTGCTGGTAGGCCTTTTCTAAGGCTCTCTGCACTTTTAAAGGGATTAGGTCACTTTACTTACTGTGTATCAGTCTAGGAAATAATAGGGAGGATGTGTTCAGAGCGACTAAACCCACATTTTTTTCCACGGAAGAAGTATTTTAATGGTTGGTGCAAGGAGTAGAGAATCTCACAATTAACAGGGACATGGGAGCTGAGGCTGTGATATTTGGACTTTTTATATAATGACGTTTTTCAGAGGTTTAGACTCCCCTTTGTCAGTTCTGTGGTGAATTTGTGGAGGGTTTTTTTTTAAAGCCAGACAATTGCAATACATTCACATAGAAATGGTAATAAATTGCCATTAGACAAAAACTGGCCCTTGGCCAGCATTGTTTGCTCTGAGATGTGTATCAGACAGGTAAGTTGTGCATGACACACGCATGACTCTCACTCTCAGGCATATAGTGACTCCTTTTCCACCAGCAGTGGGATTAGTCCTAATTAGCATGTGGGAGTGGGGAGGAATCCTGTAAGTTGGTGACTAAGGAAGAAAATCCAGTATTTTTCACTAAGCTCTGTTTGACTGAGTTCCTTAGTCACCTCCTCACAATCTGCTCTGAGGGACATACCTGAAGTTTAGTGAGCCCCCAGCTTACGTTTCATGTCTCTCTTGTTGAAAGCAAGCTCTGAAGGACATGAATAGATTGCATCATCATTGCTCTGCAGTGCAGAGTTAGATATTTTCCATTCTCATTCCCAGGAGAATAAATGGGAACCAAGAGACTGTTTTTGAACGTTACACCTGCCTGTTTTTGCTCAGAGTTTATGGATGAAATTAGCAACAGGAAGCAGCAAAAATGTTGTAAAAAAAAAAGATGAGGAGAGCAGAGAGCAGTTCAGCAATGAAGAGGATAGGTTGTTCTATGAGGCAGCTGTAGACTTTTCTTTAATGTAAAATCACTAAATAGTGAGACTGTAAGTTAAATCTAATGTGTGACAGTTATGGAGAAGCATCAGTGAAATCAGTAAATATAAGTGTGTTCATGATTATGTTCATCTGCTCAGGATGCTTGTGTGGGGAAAGAAGAACAGGTATTGAACTCCCTAGAGAGAAAGGTACATAATAGCAGAGATACTTGCAGTATTTAAATTTAAATGTCTGGGAATTGGAAGGTATATCTGCAACATTGCTCTTTTCCATAGAATTTCTGGAAGAGTTCTTCCACTTTCTTCTGTCTCCCCTCTCTGAGTTTTACCATAAAACTTAGGCCCACCTGTCTCAATCTGCTAAAAAAACTGATGATTTTCATATGTATGTTCACACAGTACTGCCCTTTCTCAAATATTATAATAATGTTCATTGCTTATTCTGTCATAATGGAGATTTGCAAATAAAATCAATGAAAAACGTTGTTATTACCATGCCTTGTTGTTGACTGAGAAGGTTGAATACCTGCAGTTCGAGCAGGGCTTTAATTATTCAAGGTAGAACCACTGAACATGAGATAGTCCATGACCAAGTAGCTTTCAGGAAACGTAATCTTACACATCTGGTATGGAGTGTTTGCTAACTTAGTGAAAAGCTACTTTTATCCTGACATTGGTCATTACTAAATGATATTGTTTGGGAAGGAGTGATGCAAGTGTGAAATGTTTGGCACTTCTGGCACCACCAGTGAGGGGGGGATTTTCAGTTTGTTGAACTGGTGTCATTTTCCCCTAAATACACTGACAGTGTTTCTGGAAGCCATTTCTTATTTGTCTCAGAGAAATAAAATGATACTAAATGAGGCTTTGATATACTGAGAGAAGGAATCCAAGGAAAATTGGTGGCTGCAAAATTGAAGTGGAAAAGATCAAGGTAAAGTGAACATTTTTGGAGGAAAGGAAATGAGATCGTGCCCACTGCAGAGATGTGATGAGCTCTCCCAATCTGTTCTTCAAAACTGGGTGTTCATCTTAAAGACCTTTTTTTTTTTCAGTCTTTAGGCATATTGCTGCAAGGTTCTTCTAGGAAGAGTTGTTAGGACTTGTGGTTTTATTAATTCTAAATGCTGTAGAGTTTGTATTGTAAATAAATGAACATACTGTAAATCAGGATCATTCTTCAAAATTGCCATTAAACCCAGATTGATTTTCTCTAGAAGCCCAGTTAACATTGTGTGTTCATCCCTTTCAGTATTGAAAAGGTCTGTAATTTTGTCAGTCAGTTTGGTTTTATATTACTTGAGAGAAAGGTATGTAGTGATTTTAAGTGGTGGATTTCTAAATTATTTTTCTCCCAAAGAAAGGAAAATTCTAAAGACTTCTATGTAGAAAAGGGAGAATGTCTAAATGGCCGGTGGAAGTATCCCAGGCATGTGCTATCAAGAGGCAATTCATGGGTTTGGGGATATTTTGTAGGTATAGTTGGTAAATATTTTTGAAAGGCGGTTCAGCGTGAAGGCAGAATAAAAGAGCGCAAGAATTTGCTTGTAAGAGGAAGTATTGTGGAGAGAGGAACTGTCAAATAAACAAAGCAGCACATTATGTAATTTTTATGCATGCTATGTTTTGGAGAAATACTGCTTGGCAGCTGCTGCCCCCAGTATTTGGTAATAGAGAGTGAAAGTGGGCCACTGCCTGTCGTTGCTGTTCCAAGCATTATGTTGTCAGTCCTGCACAGACTAAAAAATAATTGATACAAATGGAATGTATAAAGCTGAACTTGCACCTGCTCAGCAAATGGCAGAGGGTTGGTACCAAGCAAAGACACCTTTATTTGCAGGGAGCAAGTATTGTGCAGGATTAACATAGTATTAGAGAATGAGAATCTTCTGGGCTGAAAATCCACGGTGTTAAGGGATTTAACTAAAAATAGGATATTAGATAAGTTTCACAGGGATGCTACTGCAGTTGTGTTGAACATCATTAAGTAGAAGATAATACGTTTGTCATGTGTTGAGTAATGAGCCCAACCACTGTTTGACCTCAGGTCTCCAGAGAGTTGGAATGATGCAAAAAAACTTGGCAGTGATCTCTTACTGCCTTTACCTGTTACCATTTTTATAAGTGGGCTCAAATGGCAGCTGCAGTCAAGGATTACCTGGTGCATTCTTGTTTCAGTCTTTCTCATTTGGTAAATAGATACAGTCATTTTCATCTTTGCAGCTGCAGTTTTCAGATGCTCGTCCTGAGCCACAGATAACTTGTGTTTGATGGGTTTAATCAAAACAAAACGTGCAGAAGGTGTAAAACCATCACTTTCACAATGGGGCATTAGAATTTAGAAATTGGTATTTGACATGAAACTGCACTGAAGAAGAAAAACAGTTCCTTATTTTTCCATTGAAAATATAATTGATTTTGGCAAAGAACTAAGAATGTGGAAACTCCAGTTTGTCCGTAGGTTATTTTAATGACTACAATGTTGCCTAACAGTTGTTTGCCAGCAAGGGAACCAGAGCTGAGCTGTATTTTGAGATGTGATGGTTTAGGGATATAAATAAAGAAGGAAAATTGCATTAGGCAAAGTTTCAAAAAGAACTGAGGAGTTTGGAAACTTCTGGGTCAAATGTTTCAAAGTCCGTGGTGAGCAAAGGTCAGGGAGCTTCTCCTACAAACCCCTGGTTCTCCCTTCCTGTTGTTCTAAGCCAATTGCTCAGAGAGAGACTGTTGCCTGCAGCCTTGTGTTTATTGCTCCATACAATTACTCTGCAGTACCAGAGAGGTTTTTTTCCAATAAAATTTTTCATTTGCCATCAGGAACAAGTCTGTACAGAATGTTTCCCTCTCTGATTACAAAATTAAATTGACTTTTGCTTTTCTTTTGTAGTTAGTGACAGAAGGAGTGCAAAGGTAGTTCATGAGGGCACCTCTTCTGTAATTTTTTTTACTTTAAGACTATTAAGAATTTCAGTATAAAATATCCATAAGTGAAGAGTCAGTTACATAAGACAAAAGCAGGAAAATGGTTAATTCATGTGTTTCTTTAATTTTCTCTTAGTGTGTGTGTTGAGAGTAGATTTTTATTGTGATGCTCAGAACTCTTTGTGCCTCAGAACCTGTTGATCCATGGAGCGAAACTTGGGGTTTGTCACCTTTAAGGTTGTCTTGTTCTGCAGTTTACAGTTATTAATTAATTGTTATCAGTTTTTCATTTATTTGTCTGGATGAAAAATATTATTCTGTCTGCTGCTCACATGCAGCTGTGACCTGAACTGCTGCCTTTACTAGTCATCTTTTTTTCACTGGGATACTTTTTTTTAATAGTTTATATATTTGATTGGAACCAACATATTCTTTTCAGAGTAATTAAAAGACTTTTGTGTGTGTGTGTGTGTTACAAATACAGATTAAAGTTCTTGTTATTGCAGTTATTATTTATTATTTAGAAAAAATGCTACGTTTACATAGTGATGAAGTTGGGGGTTAAGTTGTACGAACACCAGGAATATCAAAGCAGCTTCCCAAGGCTCAGGATCTGTTTGCACATTTGAACAGGGCTGCTAATGGAACTTTTTCATTATTTGGTGAAGGAACTTACTCAAATACTGCAGCAGAAACCAGAGTACAGGCTTTATTTGCCTGCGACTTTCCCGTGTTTGAAATTACCTTGTTTTGGGTACTGCACCAACACATTGACCAAAAGCCTCACCCTGCAGTAATTGCTGGAGCTCCACTGAGGTCAGGGAACAAAAAGTAACAAGTTCATGGTGGGGTTTTGTTGGATAATTAATTGTATTTAGAAGGGTATCTGTTTATCCATTCACAGTTGCAGTAAGACCCAAGCAGTTCAGTATTTCCCTGGGGCTGCCCCTGTGAGCACATGTGGCAGCTCACAGGGAACACTGACTGTGACACTCACCACTGCTCCTTCCTTCTCTTTGCAGACACTTGGGCCTGGATTTAGTGCCTCGGAAGGACTTTGAGGTTGTGGATTCGGATCAGATCAGTGTTTCAGATCTTTATAAAATGGTAAGAAATCCCTGGGAGATGCCTCTGGGTTTTGACTACGGGAGGGAAAGAAGGGAAAGTTTTTTTCTTCACTCTTACGTGTTTTCTTGAATGGTGCTGTAGGCTGAGTCGTCTTCATGTGCATCCTGACCACCAGAACAATGTCTCTGGTACCCTGAATTTAATAAGAATGAAGCAACTTTCTTTTGGAAATGGCATACTTAGATACATTTGAATCCCAATTTATAAAGTAACATGATGTGAAAACTGGTGAAGGTTTCTCTGAGTCCAGAATATCCATGAGAGCCAGTGTTTGATTCTTTCAGGAGATTTGGGAATGAAGAATTAAGTGAAAAGTCTGCTTTTAGGAGTTGCATGGATAATAAACACCTTTGCCCTGTTACTGCAAATAACCAGTATTTATTATCAGAGCAGTCTGATTATGTCACTCAAGTCCTGAAGAGAATGTCCCCAGCACATTGTGCTGCTCCATCCTGGGCTGGTATCAGGACCCAACCATTAGTCACTTCACACTTCACTGTTACTGCAGTTTGGAGATTCAAGAAGACAGTGCTGTCTGATCACATCTACCTCATGTCAGGAGGCAATTTCAGGAACCAAAGCAGCTGAAAAACTGTTGTTTTTGTAACACAAAATTTGTTAGAAATTAATGGAAGGGAATATTGGTGATTTTAGGTAGTTAAAGGTTTGGGGGGTTTTATGTGGTTGGGGGATTGTTTTTATTATTTAACAAAACACAGGGTGAGAATCCTCCTTACTCCTGGCAAAATACTGGAAGGATTCTCAAATGAGCAGTGAGGTTTTACATTGTACCTTTGCAGGAATAGTTGGGAGAGCCAAATTACTTTCTCCTATTTGCAGGGTTGTAGAATGTCAAATGTAACATGGGGAATAGTCTGGTGTTAGCAGAGCAGTGGAGGAGGGGACACACCAGGCTTTCCTCTCTGTCACAGTTTGGTGTCAGGCACTTTATACCGAGTCATTAGGCTTAGCATCACTCTCCTTGGTAAATCTGGAGTCTTCAAATCTCAGCATGTTTTTTAGCTCTCATGTTTCATTGCTAAGTATATTTGTGACTCCTGTATGATACTGTGTTCATCTCCTTGTCAGAACTGTTGTGCTTGGAGGCCTCGTCCATCCTGTTTCTCCAGGTTACTCATTATGAAGCAGAATGCCAGTGGCTGCAGGACAAGCAGCATTTGTCAGGAGTTGTTCCTTTGCTCCTGAAGGAAACCAAATTGCCCTTTTCGTATGGCAGTGTTTGTGATTTTTACCAGTATGACAGAACACTTTAAAAATTTATATTGCTTTTGAAATGGTGGGAAAATGTGTTCTCAGAATTGTGCCACAGAGCTCCGTGCTGGAGTTGCCGCTGGATTGCAGTTGTCATTTAGGAACACAAAGTCCTGCAGAATGTCAGAAACACTTGGATGGCACTTTTTAGTGAAGGGGGGTTACAAGACACGAATGTCTGAAGTTGTTTCAAAAATTGGAAATGTTCAAAGCTGGTGATTAAATAAGTTTAGCTGTTTTATAAATTTATTGATTTAGATGTGTGTCTGTGGGAGGTGCATGAAAGGCACAGCTGTTGGCTGTGTAACTGCTACAGCTCAGCCATTTCTTGCAGCTGTATGAAAGAAATACCCTAAGTTTACCAGAGTTCCTAATAAACAAAGTTCCTAAATGAATAGTTTGAGATTAATGCTGCCATCACCTCATAACTGCTTATGCTTTATTCAGATGGAAAATGTGATTGGTAAGAAGGCATAGTTATAAAACTTGAAGATGATAATTCAGTTGCCCAGAACTCTGGTAGAAAAGGAAACCAGCTGGACACAAACTGTGCAGGAAAGCACTGAAATCTCGTTGTGTTTCTTTTTTGGTTGTTGTTTGTGTACATTTGGTTCTAAACCCCAGGAATAAGTCAGATGAGAATATGAAGATAAAAAGCAGTTTGAGACTGACTTGGTAATGATGAGTTCACTTACCAAGCATTGTCAGGAAAGGGAGGATGAAGAACAACACTAAAAGCTCATATTGGTAGATAAGAGATCCTGAGAAAGAAGTTCGATGGGAAGAGAGAGGGAAGGAGAATTGGTATCTGTTTCAGTAAATTAAGAACCACAAGATTCTCACTAAGAAGCAAAGTTGGATAAATTAAGAATTCTTTGTCATTAGAGTGAAAGGGATATTGAGATTACCAAGAGCAAGAATAGAAGAACAGAATTGTAGCAAAGTATAGTAGAATAGCACAGGTGAGTAAATAAAAAAATTAGAAAGGCAATGCCCAAATTCGATACAACAGGCAAATATGGTCAATTGTATCAAGAAACAGTTTTATATAAATAATGTGGTAGTAATTGGGAAACTAAAGAAATGTTTTGTACTGGGGGAAACCAGTTGGCACACGGTGCAAGAAAATACTGTGGCATTTAATGTCCTTACCCTGCTGAATTCTGATAAGGTGGTAACTTTATGTAGTAGTTATCAGTTCCAGGGGATTGAGAACTATATCCATGTCAGTTGGGATGTCTAACATCAGACATGTTAGTGATAACCATTGGAAAGGTGGGTAAGGTTCCAGAATGCAGCAAAGGGCAAGCAAACTTTACACCTTGAAAAAAAGGTGTTGGAGGAAGAGAAGCTAATAGCTATCTGCCTGTAAAAAATGCTGGGGGTAAAAAACATTAGTTATTTGCAACAAGAAGGTGAGTAACAGTGAGCATTAACTTCTTCAAAATAAGCAATTTTTAGAAGTTACAATGTACTTCCAGAACAAAAATAAGTCTAGTGGATAGAGGAAAAGCAGCTAATGCCATATTTCAATTTTCATAAAGGTTTTAAATATTTGGTTGTTTTTTTTTAATTGGAATTCTCCTAAAGTCATTAGTTTCAGATGAAATTACTGTAAACAGAGAGCTAATTAGAAAACCCATACTCAAAAAAAAAAAGAGTGAAGAATGTTTGTCAATAATTTGATCAAATAGGAGGGATGAATCTGCTGAATTTCATGTTTAATTAAGGACTAGATGCTGAAATAGGGAGTCTGCTTACTAAATATGTAAATTCCACAAAGTTGGAAGTAGTGTGTCTGACTATTTCATGGGACTAAAGGGTCAGAATTCCAAATAATGTAGAGAAATTGAAGCAATTATACAAAAACTGTAGGCTACAAGTTAGAATCATCAATGCAAGGTTTGAACTTCTGCAGTTAATTGTTCTCTCTGAAGTACAGGCTGGGACACTACAAGCTTAAGTGGTTTTGTGGAGGAGATATAGTATTATAATGAAGTCACAAGTTGAATTAATTAATCTTTTCATCCTAATGATGGACAAGACAAAAATCAGTGAGCTGAGGTTACAATAACAAGGAATCAGTTTAAGCATCAGAAAGCACTTTGATAAGGAAAGATATACTGAACATCTTATCTGTTCAAGTTTGCACAACTTTACCAGGCAACTCCCTTTTGGGAAAAATAAAACTGATTTATTTTTTTTTCTAGAAGGAAGATGGATAATTTCCTAACAGTCCTATTTTTATGTCACCTTGTCATACTGTTCAGGTTGGAAGGGGCCTCAGGGGAGATCTAGTCAAGCTTCCTGCTCTCAGTGCCAAGTCAATATTGAATTCAGACCAGGCTGCTCAGAGCTTTGTCCTGTTGGATCTTGAAATTCTTCGAGGAAAGATTCTGGGTCCCTGCTCTAATGCTTGGCTGCCTGGATGGGGTTATTTTTTCCATGTTGGAAAGTTGGGATATCCCATGCTGTAGTTGCTGACCGCAGTATTTTGGCTGCTGTGAAGCTCTGTAAAGAGCCTGTCTCAACTTGATGGTAACTTCATAGTTATGGGAAGGCTGCCCTCAGGTCACCTACAAACCTTCCCTTCTCCAGACTCAGAATACTGCATTCCCTCCATCCTCCTCATACACCCTGCACTCCAGCTCCCAGCTGCTCCCCTGTCCTTGGCTGAGCACGGGGCCATATTTCAACTGGGGTTGACTGAATGCTGAGTAAAAGGGGATAAATGTTACCCTCAGTGACAGTGGCTACAATCCTGTTAATAGAAGCAGTAAATTATTGAAGGTCCTTGCTGCCAGAGTTCTCTCTTGACTTATGTTTGCCAGTGTGCTGCCCCCGATTTAAAGCCATCTGGGAATTGATGAGACTGCAGAGGTCTCAGGGCAGACCTCTAAAGAATACACACCATCAGCCACTACCTTTGGAGCCTGACAATCCAACTGTTTATTGGGCTTTTTGGGCCAGTATATTCAGTCTACCCATCCAGGTGTACCTTTACAACATGGGTACAGGAGTGCTGTGGTGAGGGCCTTGCTGAGCAGAGGATAGACAACAGGCAGTAGTCTTCCCTCATCTACTGATCAGGTCATTTTGCACCAGAGGAATCACTTGATCCAGTATGATTTACCCCTGGTAAATCCACATTGGCTACTTTCTGTCACCCTCCCATCCAGGTACCTGAAAATGGCTTCCAGGAGAGCATGTACACTTTGGGCACTTTGCTTTAGCAAGGGTGTGTAAAAGTAACTCAGTCAGTGGTTGTATTGTGATAGCATGGTCCTGAAACACAAAAGCAGAGAGTTAGTGAAATCTAATCTTTTGATTGTGGAAAAATATAAAACCTGATTGTTTTTTTGGCCACTTATTGTTACAGATTTACCTCAGTGTGCACTGTGAGCAGCTGTGTTCACTGAGCAAACTGGAACTCTTCAGACCATGTCTCATATTTATGTTGCTTGAGTTTCTCACCCACTTTTTTACTTGGATTTAAAGATGAATTTTAGTCAAAAGAAGCCAGGACACCTTGAGCAGCTTAAATAACTGGTCTTTTCTGTGCCAGCTGGTTCTGAGTGGTTGCAGGTGCCAGAAGATTCAAGACACAACTCAACCACCTAAACTTAGGGGGTTTCTTGACATTCAGAAGATGATGCAGTAGTTAGACAAACAGTGGAGCTGGAGGTCATTATCTCTTTTACTGACAGTGTGAAAGAGGACATTTTTATAACTGTGAATGTAAACAGGTGTCAAAATATGCCATTTAGAATCAGAGTTGGTTAGTTTGGAAGAGACCTTTAAGATCATTGAGCTCAGCCATTAATCCAGCACTACCAAGGCCACCACTAAACCATGTCCCCATGTCTACACATGTTTTGCATCCCACCAGGGATGGTGACTCCACCAGTGCCCTGGGCAGCCTGTTCCAATGCTTGGCAATGCTTTCAGTGTGGAAATTTCCCCTAATATCCAATCTAGTAGTGAGGGGACCAAAACTGAGCCCAGGATTCAAGGTGTGGCCTCACTGATGTTGGATACAGGGCCCTTCTTGGCAGCCAATCTACTCCTTATGCTACAGTGTAAATGTTGGGTCAGAATAAGGTGTTGGGTTTGTAATAGAAGGGGAGAGAGATGGGCCAAATGAAGAGAATGTTTAATAAGGTGTGGTAGTGTCAATGGTAATATTTCAGTTTAACATGCTGATGTTGAGATGATGAGCAGGGAACAGACATGGCAGAGTCATTAATGATATGTTTTTTTAAAGCTCTCTGAAACCTTTTCAATTTAGATTAGTATTTAAATCTCCCTTTGGAGATTAAATGGGTTCAGTGAGTCTTGCAGTCCATTTTCTGATTATAACATCTCCTTCTAGCATAAAGGGCTCTAAATACAGGATCATCCTCTGAGTTCCCCTTTGGACATGTAGCTCGTTATGCTGATACTTCTTTACAGGTGTTGGCAGCTGAAACTGTAGAGGAGTGTTCAGCCATTTATCAAGATTTCATCTTCTGATTAGAGCAAAAGGTTAAAACAAAGTCTAAAATCCATCTTTCATTCTAGATGTCTGATTTTTTTTTTTTTTAACAAATGCACCTTTTCATAGATATACTGGTAGATGAGGATTAGTGGTGAGGTATCTCCCTCTTTAACAAGAGAACACATGGATTGCACAGTATAGGGTGATGAACTCTTGAGAAATGCTGTTACACTGTTGGAAATTCTTTCTAGCTTGTGACTGCCATTTCCTTTAAAAGTTAAGGTAAACACCCCTGTAAATGGAAGTAGTTAGGCTAAGAAATGGCTTAACTGAGAAAAGCCTTTAGGAAAGCTAGTGGTCTTGTGAGTGATGATATACTGTGAAAAAAGGCCGAGTAAAGTTGGTAATAATTTTAAGTCATATTTTACAATTACTATTTTAATGCTACACAAATATAAATATTACTTCCAAAAAGGTTTAAATTTTACTATTTTGTGTCTCCACAGCATTTGTCAAGTAGACACAGTGTCCAGCAGAGCACGTCACAGGTAAATACCACCCACATTGAAATTTTTTATTGTTTTTACGTGTATGTAAAGGAATGATGGAGATTATTGGGTAAGTCTCTACCCATAGAACGTTTCCTCAGAAGATCCTCAGATATTTAAGTCACTAAGGTCCTTCTTCAAATTCCATTTAGGTCTTTTTTCTTTAGCTCTGACTGTTCTTAAAAGATCATCTTCTGTAGAGAGATCAAAAGCCTCACTCTGCCCACGTGACTCTTCTTTCTACCTGCTGACACGTGGCTTAGTGGCTTCTGCCTCACATACCCTTTCTGTAGTAATGTAATCCATTCCTGGGTGTGGGATCTGCCTTTGATCTGTACAGAAGTCTGTGCTTCCATAGGTGCCTGTCCTTAAAACAATGAGGATTTACTTGGTTTCAATTTAAAATCCAGAACAAAATTCCTTTTAAACCAGTACAAATCTCAAGCTGGAAGGCTGGAAATGTTAAGATTTTCTTTGTTGGTGTGTACCTGTCTAGAGAGCCTCGTGAGCTTAGGATATTCATGCAACTTGTTGATTAAGATCAGCATAAATAGATGCAAAGGGGTATAAAACTAAAAGCATAAATTTGCTTCTAGTTATCCCTCCTTGTTCCTTGGAAGCAGAGCCTGCCTGCCTGGCTCTCCCCTCCTGTCAGGGGGTTGTAGAGAGCGAGAAGGTCCCCCCTCAGCCTCCTTTTCTCCAGGCTGAGCCCCTCCAGCTCCCTCAGCTGCTCCTCATGGGACTTGTGCTCCAGACCCTTCCCCAGCACTGTTGCCTTTCCCTGGACACACTCCAGCCCCTCAGTGTCTCTCTTGCAGTGAGGGGCCCAAAACTGAACCCAGGATTTGGGGTGTGGCCTCACCAGTGCCCAGCACAAGGGGATGGCTACTGCCCTCATCCTCTGGCCACATAAATGACATTTGTAAATGAATTGCAGCTGCTAAAAAGAAATAATGGAATAAATGTTATTTTTAAAAATGCTTTGAAGTCCATCTGCTTTAATGGAAATTCCACTAAAGTCCATCTACTTTAAATGGAAATCATCAGGAACCACCCTAGCAGATCTTATTATAGTTCATTTTCACTACTAGAATAAAGCCAAAATCTGAGAAATAGGATTGACTTGGTTTACTTGATAAAATCAAATTTCAAATGCATAAACCATTTATTTCATATCTACTCGGTTATCCTGGTTTCTCAAACTATTGAAATTATAAGTGGAAAAAAGGGAGGAAGAAAACTTAAGCTGGCACGTGTCTGAGGCAGAATATATTTGAGATTAAACTTGGATGGAGAAAGGAGAGCAGAACCTCAGTTAAGATGATCAGCTGGGTCACGTGTCCTTTGTTTGTGGAGAAGCACAAGTGACTTTCCCTGGTTTTGGTTAGGTGGACACCATCCGTCAGCGCCACGGGGAAGCCTGTCGCATGCCAGTGCCTCACCACTTCTTCCTCAGCCTGAAGAGCTTCACCTACAACACAATTGGAGAGGACACAGATGTCTTTTTCTCTTTGTACGATGTCCGAGAAGGCAAACAGATCAGGTAGGGGTGTGTCAAATAACTGAAAAGCTCCCTAGGGAAACGGTTCTGTACAAAAGATACACACTGGAGAAAAAACCTGTGGTGTGGCTGGATTTTGTTTAGGTTTGTGACTTTGCCTCCACACATTACTGAGGGTCTTGGTGTCTTGTAGCTGCCTTCTTAGGGCTGTTGCTTAAGAGTCACTAATACAGGCAGGGCCAGGCTGTAGGACGGGTTTGAGAGCACTGCTGTGTGCCTGGGTGATGAATTGAGGCTCTTTACCTCTCCTCCACTCCTTGCCTTACAGGCCTGTCACAAAAAAGCTTGTTGTCATCTCTCTGCTGCCATCAGTATAAACTATTCACATTGATCCCCATGTCTGTGCTCGCAGTACATTGAGCTAATTGGTACCAATGTTCACAAACATGAGATGTGCTGGATTTCTCCTTTACAGCTGTGTGTTTTGAAAACAGCAGAATACATAGAAGAGTATTGCAGCATTTATGTTGTGTCTTGGAAATTTAGTAAGTGTGACTTGGTCTGAAGTACAGCATGTCTGTGGGGTGTTCTGAGTTTTGGTTGAGGCATGTCCTGACAGTCAGCACAAACCATATTTGCTGCCGTAGTCAAAACTCTCCCAATTTGCAGCAAATTAGATTTAGAGTTGTTCTAAAGTAAGGGAAGAGCCACAAAATGTTCTTTACTCTCTTCAGAAGAACATTAGTATGTGAATAATGCTCATCCAAGAAAGTTTAGAGCAGAGTGATAACAGTTTTGTAGCTCTTCAGAGTACAGCCCACTGTAAAATTGATCTATATTGGGAAGCTCTGATGACTTGATTACATCTTATAAATATGTCTGCCACTGTTTATTTAAGCAACCTTTAGATTGTCCCATAGAATATTGCAAGAATGCACAATCTGACAGAACACAGTGCTTATTTTACCCTTCAAGTGAGAAACACTTGTTTTGATCATAGAGTATCCTGAGTTGGAAGGGACCCTCAAGGATCATCCAGTCCAACTCCTGGCCCTGCACAGACAACCCAACAATCCCATCCTGTCCCTGAGAGCATTGCCCAAAGTTCCTTGAGCTCTGTCAGCCTTGAGGCTGTGCCCACTGCCCTGGGGAGCCTGTTCAGTGCCCCACCACCCTCTGGGAGAAGAATCTTTTCCTGAGATTCAACCTTATCTTCTGACACAACTCCGGGCCATTCCCTCGGGTCCTGTCACTGGTCACAGAGAGCAGAGATCAGTGCTGTCCCTCTGCTTCCCCTCATGAGGATGTGGAAGGCCTGAGAGATCTCCCCTGAACAGCCCAAGTGCCCTCATCCTCTCCTGTGGTTCCTCTCCACTCATCATCATCCTCGTAGCTCTCCTTTGGACACTCTCCAGTTGATGTAGTTCAGGAGTTCATGCCTATGATTCCTCTATTAAGAGAATTACCAGAAAATAGCTGTTAAAAGAGAAAGGTGAAATTGGCAAACCAAACCAAAAAAATACACTGCATTTATCAGTCTCTACCACAGAGCAGTAAAATAACAAATTATTTAGATGAGGAGAGCTGCAGGGAAGAGGAAGGGACAAGTGGACAAGCTGCTGCCAGCAGAAGTTGCTTTGAAAGGAGATGAATTGTCTTGGGCTGCATTTGCATAGTATGTAAACATTGAATGGAAAGCCTTAAGAAGGGGTTTTGCCTGTGATAAAAAAGTAAAATAATAGTTATAATGAAAAAAAACACAAAGAGTGGTTCAGGCATATTTAAATCTATAAAGTAATGCTTTGATGTGCAAACAGATGTTATTATTTAGCTCTTCGTATTAAGCATCAGTGATCTGCTGCAGTGAAAACAGCATAATTTTTACATTTTCCTACGTCCCAGGGAGTGCTGGGGAAGAAATGCGTAATGAGGCTGAGCTCTGTTTTACAGAAGAAACCAGAAAACAGACACACATTGCTACAAATTTAGAATGATGTTTTTATATCTACTTGAAAAGATTTTCTTTCCTCTCAGGATATAGTACATTAAGGTAAAAAAAAAAGCAAACAACAAGTAAAGCTTCTGCTCACTGCATTCTAAATGGAAGGGACAAATTCACTTCTGAAATGGTTTTGAGGTTGATAAATTGCTTACCCAAACTGCTCCTGCTGGAGGCTGAGTGGCTTTCAGCGTTACTGCTTTGGACATGTGCTAGATTACAAACCTCACTGAACCTGCTGGTGGGAAGAGTTATTTCCCAGTTAGTTAAGTGAGGAATTGGTGACATTTGCAGTCTTTTTCAAGGGCTGAAGTAACAGCAGGTACCAGTTGTGGGTTAGCAATCAGAAGGTTGAAACAAGCAGCTGAAATACAGTTTGAGGTGGTTCTCAGGTTCTGAATACAAATATGTTACTGTGTTTAATGGTTTGTGCTGTCAAAAAAAGGAGGAGCAGACAAAGGATGACAGTGGGGAGCTCTGGGCAGCAAGAATAACAATGCTGCTGTTAGAGGGGTAAGACCTAGAAGTAAAAACAAGGAAAAAGTTACTTAATTTTTAGTCTGAGAGAAATATGAACATTCACATGAATATGCACTTGTAAGTGCATAGAACTTAATGGCTCAGGTCAAAAGGGATTAAAGTTTTTTGTCTTTTTTAAACTGTTTGGGATTCTTTTTTTGGTTACAAAAAAAGTCCCATCTTCTTACATACCAAAGCCATTCGTCTAGCAACATAATCTTTGTTACTAAACTTTTATACCTCAGTTTGTCTGCTGTGTGGAAGTTAGAGGAAAGTAATGTGATAATTGATGCAGTGAGGAAGTAGAGCCCCACTGAGAGGTGTGCCTTGGGATGAATGATCATGGAATGATCCCGTTGATAGTAATGTCAAAAAGGAAGGAATGAAAATGTTGATGTAAAGATGGTGAAACTCCATATGGAGGGTGTCAATAAACATCAAACAAAGATAGGTAGACTGATATGGAGAAAAGAAATTTGAGAGTTGTTGGTTTCTTAACCATACTGTTGAAGAGCACGGAAGCAAATTGTTTTGGTCTGAAGGGATGGGAAAAGACAAACTTGTAGGAAAAAAAATACAATTAGCAAAAGACATCGAGAACCAAAAAAAGAGAATAGTTTTGTAATGCTTTAGCAGCAAAAAAAAAATAAATTACAAAATCAAGAAATAGCTGAAGAGATTAAAGGGGACTTTAAGCCATGAGCAGATGTTTCCAAGATAGCTGGAGTAGTTAATGGCTGTTTTGCCTCAATCTCCCTAAGAAGGTCAACTGCAATCCAATGGCAAATGCGAAAAGTTGCAGAAGAAATAAACTACTTGTTAGCACTGAGAAGCCACAAGACAATAAGTAAAAGTCAACACAGATTTGTCAAGCACAAATCACATCAGAGCCAACTAATTTTGTTCTGTTATATGGGAATGCACCTCCTGCCTCAACTGAAGAGAAGCATTAAACTTGATATGGTACAGAGGGACATACAGGCTGGATGAAACTGCTCTAAAAGAGCTGGAAACTGGTAGAAAAAGTGATCCAGGGCAGTTATTTATGCTGGATGGATGCAGCAAATAAGATATATATTTAAATTTTTTGTCATTTTTTCATCATGATTTTGATGGGTGGAAATAAACTAAATTCAGTAAAGCAGTGAGGTTTGGCTTCCTATGCAAACAACAGCTCTGTTTTCCCAGGAAATGCATGGAATTATGCAGAGCTTAAAAAAAATCACACATTCAAAAGCACAGTATCAGGTTTTCTCTGATAACAGACTTGAAAAGTCCCAAGTGTCATGGAATCACAGAATGGCCTGGGTTGGAAGGGGCCTTTAAGCTCCCCTCGTTCCACCCCCTGCCATGGGCAGGGACACCTCCCACTAGCCCAGGTTGCTCCAAGCCCCATCCAACCTGGCCATGGACACTTCCAGGGATGGGGCAGCCACAGCTGCTCTGGAGGTGCCAGTGCCTCTCCACTGTTAGAATGTCTTCCTAATTTCTTCCTAATATCCAGTCTAAACCTATTCTCTCATTTTTAAGCCATTCCCCCTTGTCCTGTCACTCCAGGCCCCTGTAAATAATCTCTCTTCATCTTTCTTGTAGGCCCCCTTCAGGTACTGCAGGGCTGCAAGTAGGTCACTCTGAAGTATTCTCTTCTCCAGGCTGAACAGTCCCAATTCTCTCAGCCTTTTGAGTATGGAAAAAGATAAATAAATTTTAGTCTTATTTTTCTTTATAGAGTTTATGTTTAAACATGTAGACGTTTTTTTATCTGTCTGTGTCCTAAACCAGTTACCCTACTGTACACCACTGGGATTTAAAAGTTTCTTGTTGTTGAGAAATATCCTCGATTATGGAGAGGGAATAGAACAAAAAAGAAATTCTGATGTGATTGAATTTGAAAGTCTGGGGCCTAATGAGGAATTATGCCTGGAAAAACGGTGCTGTACATATTTCTGCTTGTAACTCCCCCACCTGCTCCTCCTACTTGCTGCGCCTTTCCCAAGTCCATTTTAATAAAGACCTTGTGACTGGAGGTTTTGGAAGATGTGCTGAGTGCCCAGGGTGGTGTTGATAGGGTTGACAGAGAAAGTCCACGTGGGTGTTTCTCATACAGAATATGTTGAGCCTTTTTGTTGAGGGACCAAATGTTCCCTGTGGTGTCTGTACAAGGCATATGTTTGCTGATGGTCCCCTCTCATTAATACATAGTGTTAGGAGAAGATCTCACCTTCTTTCAACTGGTCTGTTCAGTCCAAGTCACCACCACCTGGGGGTTTTTGTGTGTTTGCTTGCTCCTTTGTCCATGGTGCCTTTTCTTTCTGTCATTTTATCTCAGTGTGACGTTCTGGACACTCAGGATGATCCCTTCTGGTGTGTGGACAGTCAAGCAGATGCAGCAGTTGAGCTACCTGGGGGAAATAAGAAGTAGCCTGGGTGTGCAGGGACAGAATAAGAAAAGGGAAAGCTCAGCTGGATTTGAATGTGGAGAGGGAGAGCAAGATACACAGACATGCACACAGGGCTGCTGTTC